TTTAGAATGACAGACAACGGATTGAACGACATGATGAATATCCTGAGAATCATGCAAATAAATTTTACAGATTAAACACTTTTGAATTTAACTGTCAATATTGAGATCCTCAAAACAATATTAACTTAAATTCACCGACATCTATTACACCTCGTGAGAATGTATGCTACGTGGGTCGCCCTACAAACTCGCATTTTGTAAGAGAAGGACTTTTCAAGGGCCCATTAATTTCCATAAGTCAAAACCACATTCATGACTAACGAAATTAATAGTCGGTCTCCATTTGGCCATGCAATAAATCCAGGGACCCCGTGGGGAGTTTATAGATAAGTCGCATTCTAAGTGAATCCCATTTCTCGATTCTGAGGTTGTCAAAATTGATTACACGTCCCCCGTGGGGAGGCCCGTGCGTTCTCTTAAGATTCCCTCTAACCGTCTAATTTTAGAAATTTGTCCTGGTAATTTCCTACAACCAATTTTAGCAATGTCACCCGTGGGGGAGCCCATTGCCGCAATTAATTGATTTACCGACAAATTAGAAATGGAGGCCTTAGGAATTTTACAATTAACTTTAATTTAAAATCCCTTCTCAAACTTAGTATAATTTAATGAGGATTTTTAACTATTTATACAATTCCAAATTAATCTATGTTAATGCAATAATTAATTAACATGCATATTAATTCATGCAATTCTAAATTAATCTATGTCAATGCAATAATTAATTAACATGTTCAATAATTTATGCAATTCTAAATTAATCCATGCCAGAACATAATTAATTACATGCATAATTTATTGACACAATTCTAAATTAATCCTATGCATCACATAATTAATTAACATGCATAATTAATCTTGCAATACTAAATTAATCCCATGCAAGAACATAATTAATTAACATGCATAAATAATAATTTAATGGCATAATAAATTTAATTAAATAAATAAATAAATCCACTATTATGGCCATTAAATATTGAGTCTCCTTAAACAAGGAAACTGTGACAGTTCTTTTCCCTGTTCAACTGGAACTCCTTTAAGCAGTAGAATCCTGGTTGATCTTGTACTGCTTGGACAACAAGGCAAAAACACCAGCTACCAGCCGCCACCTGCCGCCGCCACCAGCCACCGCCGGTTCGCCGGCCGCCGCCACCAGTTCGCCGGAAAAACGCCGATTTTTTTTTTTTTTAATTCTTCGAGGCTCGTTGATCTCTTGTGATCTCCCGGTTATCAACACACGATCACAACACGAAAAATATAATTTACAAAATTACATAATTCGATCCTAGATCCAACGAATGGATGTACATGTTTTCTAAACAAATAATTAAATCTATCCGGTCAACCCCCGGGCGAATAATTATTACAAACATTCATCCATAAATTCCTCGACATGCCCGAGGCTTTAAAAACAAATTTAAAACCATACATCACATTCAACAACATTCATCAAACACATAATCGGCCATAATAGTGGATTAACTATTTTCCTGCAAAACCGAGTTATGCAAATATAATCCAATATATGGCTGCGTTTGAACACATCTTGTCAAATAAAGCCGTAAAAATTCGAACTTTGTACAAAACGAATTAACCAAGTGCTCTGATACCACTTGTTGGGATCTGTGAGGATCTCGTTATGTACAAATCACGAATTCAATAGCAAACGTAAACCTATGCGCAGCGGATCTAAAGGTTTGACGTAGAGAACTTACGGCTTAAAATTTATGTAGATCTGGTTGACCACGAACGGTTGACCGCAATTGATTGACCGCAACACGCGTCTTGGGTTGCACGAACAAGATCAGATCAAAACTGGATCAAACGGATGCAAACAGATCAAAACGAAATTTTGCTGCCAGACACCTTCCGGCGGCGCGTGAGGGCGCGTGCGGCGTCGGATTCCGGCGACGTCGGCGGCGATGGAAAGCTCTCGTCGAGACGGTCGTCTGGGTATACTGTACGTCTCAATCGGACTTCCGGTTAGTTCTGTAGGTCAAAATCAATTTCGTCTCGGTTTACCTACAGATCTTCTACTGTATTACTCAATACACCCTTCTTCAACTTGTACCAGTGGAGCAACAAGAAGAAGATAAAGCTCGAATGAGATCTAGAGAGAGAGATGGTTTCACGTGAGAATGAGACTTCTATTCTCTTCTCATGAGCTTAATGATGTATATATAGAGCTACAGTAGGGACCCTAAGGAGATTAGGAAAAGGGCTCCTTAATTAATTAGACTAACTGTGGGCCAAACCCACTCCTCTAATTAATTAAATAATATTAATGGGCCACCAACATTATATTATTGCACTCCCTTTCCCTAGCCCAAATTACATTTGAGACTCCAATAATAATTACTCGATTTACCTCCCCACGTTTAAGATATAATGTCCATTAATTAATTCGATTACTGACAATCAAGAATTAATTAATTTATTATTATTTCACCGAAGCTAGCGCTCGTTCATCACATTCTTATTATGCCGGAATTTAATCCACCTGCAGGGTTTAGCATAACAATCCTTCATGAACTCACTCCGGGGACATCATCAAACTAACGCACATGGTGACCGTAAATATCCTAACAGCACATCCTATATATAATAATATTACCCAAAACAGTAGGAATATTAATCCAGCGAACTGAACCTCACCCATGTGAATCAAAGTAATATATATTATATATATCTGCCTGTTTAATATCTTACGGGTTAAGAGAACGCAGTAATTAACCGAGGCCTAGTTCATTTACGACGATCAGTATAAAATGAACTTCTCCTCTCTGGGATCCTGTTCAATACATAAATGTACTAGTGCAACTAATCAGTCAAGACAAACTGTACAGTTGACACTACAACCGTTCGGATGGGGTGTTCATGTCCATCTAGGTTGTGAACAACTATTCTTGTTCGCAAGTGACTGATAGAGTGATCTTCGGTTCGCCCGATGACGACCCACCCTATCTAAGTGCAGAACAACAGAACGTAGAACTTGTTTAATCTAACATGATTCTCATTCATAAAGGGTAAATGTGTAATAACATGCAAAGCCAAGCTTTCAGTATATAACACTAACAGGAGACAGGTCCACTGGGTGAGGTGGGACTCGGTTTGCCGCCCCTTTTCTGAGGGGGGTCTTGGGATCCGTCGCTTTTCGGATGTCGTCACTGCATTCTTTTATAAGATATGGTGGCGCTTTAGGGAGGGTAAGTCACTCTGGGCCCAGTATCTTCGTCGGAAGTACTGTCCTCGAGGCGCTGCCCATCCCTGTAGAGTGATGACCATCTCCCGCGATAGCAGACAGTTGAGGCGCCTCACCATGGTTGGTAGATGTGCTCAGAAGAAACACATATTTTGGACTCTGGGTGAGGGAGACATTAGTTTTTGGGATGAGTGGTGGTTTGGTGGGGTCCACTTTCGAGCACTAGACAGGTTACCCACCTTCCCTTTCTACAGGTGAAGGACCTGTGGACGGAGGGGAAATGGGATAGGGATAGGCTATAGAGAATTCTGGGTATTGGAGCAGGCCTTAGTGATCAGGTGATAGATGAGATCCAGCAGATTCCCATCTCGGAGGACGGTTTGGACGGTATGAGGTGGAGACTTACATCTTCGGGTGCATACTCTACGACATCGGCTTGGGAGGAAGTATGGCTAGGTGACCGGCCTAACCTCCTCTTCAGGGCCATCTGGACCGACCTACTTACCCCTACCATCTCTTTTTTCCTTTGGCGCCTCCTTTTGCGCCGCCTACCGATTGACACTGTGATGCAGACGAAGGGTTCTCTTTCCCCTCGCGTTGCTACTGTTGTGCTGAGACCGGAGATTTTCAGATGGAGACCTTTACTCATCTGTTTTTAGAGAGCGAGACTGTGAGGAGAGTGTAGGAACATTATACCAGTTACACTCATATCCCCGTACCCTCCACAGATACTTTTTTTTGAGCTCTTGAGTTTTTTCAGACACCGCACACACATTTGACACACGTGAGCTTCCTTATTCCTTGTCTGATCCTTTGGGCCACCTGGACAGAAAGGAATAATGCGAAGCATAGAGATAACCCTTTTTTGTGTTCCCATATTATTTTACAGGTTGACCGACACTTCTCCCTCCTCACCACTTTGGGCAGACTCACCCAGAGAGACTGAACAGGCTGCACGCCATCTCACCGCCTTGCACCACTTCCGCTGGTGCCTGTCTAGCATCCACGTCCCAGAGCGGTTGTTTGAACCCGAGTCGCCTTGGGTTAAGCTAAACACTGATGGAGCCTTTGATCGACTTACTGGAGTTGCAGAAGGTGGGGGCCTGATTAGGGATCATAGCGGCGCCCTTATTTCCGCGTTCCATGCCCCTCTTCGGGCCTCTTCATGCTATGACGCGGAGGTTCAGGCGTTTCAGATCGGTCTTCAGATTGCCGCTTCGATCTCCTCTAACATTTGGATAGAGTTGGATGTTGCCGCTGTCATCACTCTTTTGTCATCTGGCCATTATGGCATGTGGCAGTTCCAGCACCCTCTCATGCGTATCAGAGCTACTCTTCAGTCGATTCGCTCTCGAATCTCTCACATCTTCCGTGAGGGGAACCGACCAGCTGACTTCCTCGCTGGCATTAGGTCCTCCACTCCCCATAGACGCATTATTTACCCTGACGATATTCCTCTCCGCCTCTGCACCCTCATACGGATGGACCAGATGGGATACCCCTCATTTAGATTTGTGTAGCCGGTCCTACTTTTTGGCGCATCTGCCACACTGTGATGCTGACTTTTTCGCCAGGACCCCCCCGGTTGTGATGTCTTATCTTGTAGTCCACTATGTTGGTCATTTTTTAAAAAAAGTTCATCATATAGGGCGTCATCAAGAATGGTCTACTAAGTTGCCATTTTAATTAAAATTTGTACAAAAACCAAGATAGTGTACAAATATTTTATCTGTTCTCTAAGGTTACCATACATCATTTTGTGGATTGACTTATGGCTGCTTTCTTCTAATCATAGGTTCATGGGCCTGGTGCTGATATTGATACCTTATGTGTTGGACCAAAACATGCCAGTCGAAATGTAGGTTATTTAGATTTATGTTCTATTGATTTTGTTACTTCTTGAATGGAGGCAATAACTTTGTGATTTGTCACATACAGGAAGACTTCTTTGGTGAACTTTACAGAATGCTCTCCGAGATGCCTGAAGTACAAGAACTGCACCCGGTGCCAGAGGCTCATGTTCCTGTGATGAAGTTCAAGTTCAATGGTGTTTCTATAGATCTACGTTATGCAAATGTGTCGCTATGGGTTATTCCCGAAGTATGAACCTTTTCTCTTTGTATTAACCAGTTTTTCAGTATTTTTTGCATTTATTTTTTATTCTGGTATTGTGAAGTACTCTGATGAGTGCACTGTGCACGTGTTTGTGTTAACTTTGATGCCTTTCCATGGCAAAATCACTTTGCCGTTAGGCTTCTTTTAAACAAACTCTGTTCAGTTCGATGTGAAGTCTCCTTTAATGCTTCCATCACTCCTTTTTATTCTCTTTTTGAATAAATATTTTGTTGACTTGGAAAACTTCTTCTTAGTTCCACCTGCCCCTCCCGGAGAAAGATAAGGAAAAGAAATTAAAGAAAAAGGACACTGTTGAGTTGAAGTAGTGAAGCATATTTCGATTTTTTATTATATTCGTGCATTTTTTTCACTATATATAGCTGCAAGGATTGTCTTTCAAGAATGTCTCCCCACTAACTTCTTTTAAGTTTGTTATAAGATTTTTTTCTCATGTCATGCTATCGGACTGCTCGTAGGACTTGGATATTTCTCAAGAATCGATTCTGCAATATGTGGATGATCAAACTGTTCGCAGTCTCAATGGTTGTAGAGTGACTGACCAAATATTGCGGCTCGTCCCAAATATTGAGGCCTGTGAATCTTACAATGAAACATTAAAGTATTTGTTTCTCTAATAATCTCTGAAATCTAATCTGTACTGTCTGTTTATCGTTTAGACTTTCAAAACGACACTTCGATGTATGAGGCTATGGGCAAAGCGACGTGGGGTTTATTCAAACGTGAGTAACTTTGACTGGTGTCTTTCTTTTTCCTTCGTAAATTAACTTTCATATGTCAATATTCGATACATGAAATGTGTGAGGTACTATTCTCCAGTCAATAGTGTTCTCTGGTTAAAATGTGATGGATGCTAGCATATTTGAACTGTAATTATTTGCTTATTCGTTTGTTTTCTTTCTTAATGTTTTTTTTTTTTTTCTTTTTTTCCTTTTGCACTTAGATTTGGGCTTTCCTTCATTTTTATTTAGTTGCTCATTGACTCTTCCTCGGCTACAATCGATATGAGATGTGTATCGATACTTTCCATTAGTCAGAACTATAGGTCCACGTACAGTTATTTTTCTAGCTTGACCTCCGTACTGAAAGTTTAAAAAATGAAGCTAAAAGTAAAGAACCCATTTATATGGAGAACTGTGTGGTATTATTTTTTGTAGTAATGGTGAAAATATATTTCTTTCATTGATTCATTCTCAAGGACTTTGAAAGTTCAGTTTTCATACTTGTACTGGATTCTTTTTTCAATAATAGTTGTTTTTTCTACTGTTGACATATACTTGAGCAATTTGTTGTAATATGCATCTGATCATCTTGTTTATTGCTTTTGTTTCTGGAGTTCTCTTCTATTTAATTAGTTAATCATGTCTGGCAGGCAATAGAAGCAAACAAGTCCAGCTGGCCCGCCCTTTTTGAACCTTTCGCCTTCTTCGAAGCATACAAAAACTATCTCCAGATAGACATAGCCACAGAAAATGACGAGGACATGATGAACTGGAAAGGCTGGGTCGAGTCCAGAATACGATTACTCACATTAAAGGTTTTTTTGCCCCAATTTCAACCCAATTTTTTTTTGCCACAAATATTTGAATCTGCACTGCATAATCATAATACTGGTGATGCTGTCTCTGTTTATCCTCCTCCTCAGGACCCAACAGCGCTACACCCTCAGCCCTATCTTCGATCCTAAGCTCTGCCTCCACACACTCTCACTCCTCCGCCCCAGAAACAAACCCAAACCCAAGCAGAATCTCAACCCCACGCCCGCCAACTGGAACACCACCCACACCTTCGTCCTCTCCAACCCCATTCTCCTCCTCCTCGAGACCAAATGCCGATCCATGCCCCACCTCATGCAGATCCACGCCCGCATGACTGTCGCCAGACTCTCCTCCAACCCGCTCGCCCACAGCCGCCTCGTCGCTTTCTGTGCCCTCTCCCCCACCGGCAATCTCAATTACTCCAAACGATTGTTGATTTCTACCAACAACCATAACACGTTTTTGTGGAACATTGTCATTAGAGCCGCCTGCGACGGCCATAATCCGGCCCAAGCTTTTCTCCTCTACAAACAGATGTTGGGTGTTGGTAATTATTTTAGATCTAGGCCCAATAACTACACTTACCCTTTACTCTTCAAGACCTGCGCCAGGCTGTTGCTTTTCGATGTGGGTCGTCAGGTTCTCGTCCATGTACTCAGACTGGGCTTCGAACGCGATGTATTCGTGCGTAATTCCCTGATTCATTTTCTCGTCACCTGTGGTGAGTTAGATGCTGCGGGTGAAGTGTTCGATGAAAGTCCCGTGAGAGACCTGGCTTCCTGGAACTCTCTGATTAATGGCTACGTGAGGTGCGGGAAAGTGAAAAAAGCTCTGGGGATTTACAAAAAAATGGAGATGGAGGGGAAAATCGAACCGGACGAGGTCACCCTGATTGGAGTTCTCATGGCGTGTGCACAGTTGGAGGAATCCAAACGCGGCCGAGAATTTCATAACTACATAAAACACAAAGGGCTGAAAATGACGGTCCCGCTCGCGAATTCCCTCCTCGACATGTACGTGAAGTGTGGAGATCTCGAAGAAGCAAAGAATTTGTTCGAGAAAATGGAGGAGGAGAAGAAGACTACGGTGACCTGGACAACAATGGTAACGAATATGCCAAATCCGGACACATAGACATTGCACGTAAACTATTCCTGAAAAAGACGTGGTCCCCTGGAATGCAATGATTGGAGCCTATTCTCGGGCCCACCGGGCCAAAGAGGCCCTGTCCTTATTCCACGAGATGCAAGCGGCCCGAATCGAGCCCGATGAGGTCAACATGGTCAGCTACCTTTCCGCATGCTCACAGCTTGGTGCCCTTGACCCCGGGATATGGGTCCATAACTACATACAAAAAAACAATCTCTCCATGAACGTCATTCTCGGGACAACCCTAGTTGATATGTACGCCAAATGCGGAAGCATCACGCACGCACTCGAGGCTTTCCACGAGATTCCCGGCAAAAATTCTCTGACTTACACCGCCATAATCTGCGGGCTGGCTTTACATGGAGAATCAAAACGGGCCCTTTCTTACTTTACGGAGATGATAAATTTGAGATTAATGGCGGACGAGGTGACTTACTTGGGCGTTCTATCCGCGTGCTGCCATGGAGGCTTAGTCGAAGAGGGTCGGAAGGTATTTTCTCGAATGAGCTCGAAATACAAAGAAATGCCTATGGAGGGAGATGGCGCGATATGGGGAGCTCTGTTTTTCGCGTGCCGAATGCATAGAAATTTGGAGTTGGGAGAAAAAGCGGCGAAAAAGTTGCTGGAGCTTGATGAGGGTGATAGTGGGATATATGTTTTGCTGGCGGGAATGTATATGGAGAGAGGTATGTAGGAGGAGGCTGAGGAGGTAAGGAGGGTTATGAGGGAGAGAGGGGTTGATAAGATGCCCGGGTGCAGCTTGATTGAGGTTGATGGGAATGTGCACGAGTTTGTGGTGAGGGACAGGTGGCATCCCGAGAGAAGGCGGGTGCATGAGTGTTTGGTGAGGTTGTCAAGGCAGATGGAGGTTTTGGAGGATGTGTTTTTCTTGGACGGTTGAAATATGATAGTTGGTGTTTGTCTGTTGAGTTGGGGAGCTATTTTGATATGTACATGATTTATGGTTTAGATGATGTTGTTATAGTTTTAGTATTTTTAACAACTCGTTAAATAATCCAACTGTTAAGAAAGAAAGCACACACGTATATATCTGGCGCAATCACTGAATCTGTTATTGAATTTGCGCGATGTTTCGAGCTTTTGTTGGAGCAAAATATGCGCTGCATTTTGGAGGCAGTGCAACAACTGGTATCTTGTGGGAGTTGCAGTATATGTTTGGTTTAATGGAGGGAGGGGAGGAGATGAGATGTGACATAACTTTACCAAGACTTTTAAGAGGGAGATAAGGGGAGGGAAGAGAATATGATAAATTTTGTTTAGTTAAAAAATTAAGAGGGTAAAATAATATAAGATTGATATAAATAAAAAAAAAAAAAATTCCTCACCTCCAAATTTTTTCCTCCTCTTTCCTCTAAACTAGTATACGTACTTGTGTGATGCACGAGTCTTTGATATTAATAAATAGTTTCATATTATTTTATAATTTATTCATTTATTTGCTAATCCATCATTAATGAAGATTTATCTGGATATTATATCATGACCAAAAGATCTAAAACTATTAATTTCAAGCTTTAGTTTATATTTGTTTAAGATGCAAAAGATGAGTTAATTATAATTCAGGACTTGTATGATCAAAATTTATCAAGTAATTGAAATTGAGCCGGTGGACCCGGGTCAATTCACGGGTATGGGTTTTAAAACGGGTGGTACTATTTACCGCCTCCCATTTTACTAGTCACCGCCCTCCTTGGACGATTTTGCCCTTTCCATTTATTCTAAACATCTCAGAGGAAAGTGCATGGTGAAATGTCATCAAATTCGGAGGTATGAAAAATTTTGGGAACTGGACGGCTTTTAGCCCGTCCGGCCGCCGGAACTGGACGGTTTTTAAGCCGTCCGGCCGGCCGGTCCGGACGGGCTAAAAGCCGTCCAAAAAGTTCGGCCGGTCGGACGGGCCCTGTCCGAACCGGCCGGCCGGCCGGATGATTTTTTTTTTTTTAAAATTATTATGTTATATATTTGAAATAATTATGTTATAAATTAGACTATATTATTATGTTATAAATTATTATGTTACATTTTAGACTTGATTATGCTATAAATTGGACGTTTATCGTGTTAGGAGTTACAAATTATTATGTTATATGTTGATTATAATATAAATTGAACGTTAGATATTATCGTGTTACGAGTTATAAATTATTATATTACATGTTAGTCTTGGTTATGTTATAAATTGACGGACGTTACATAGTATCGTGTTAGGAGTAACAAATTATTATGTTACATGTTATAGTTGATTATATTATAAAATGGACGTTAGATATTATCGTGATCGTGTTAAGAGTTACAAATTATTGTGTTACATGTTAGACTTCATTATTCTATAAATTGGAAGTTAGATAATATAATGTTATGAGTTACAAATTATTATGTTACATGCTAAAATTAATTATCTTAATTTAACACGTTCTAAAAATATAAATATTGTACTATATAGCAAGAGTCATGGGAAGATTTTGGAGGAGATGGTGTTGATTACAGTCTGCGTTTCGATACCTGTACATTATATAATAGTGCTCAGGACGCTATTGAAGCTGCAAAACACCAGACAATGCTGAATGGTTTCTTATTAATAATTTCAAGCCAAAAAAAGAAAACGGTCAGGCTTTTAATGTGCCATAGAGGCGAACGGTACAGAGGCACTGGCGGAAATTCTAGAAAGACAAAAACGAATTAGTGCGGCTGCAATTTTGAGATCAAAGTAAAAAAGGTGTCCGGCGCTCCATACTGGAGGATCTGTAGATGTAGCAATGAAGAGAAGGGCTACCATAACCATACATTTGCTGTATATCCTGAGGGTCATCGCCAGTTGAGCGGCCTCAGCGCTTCATTTAAGAAAATTGTTCGTGATATGATGGACGCTCAGGTGACCCCGGCAAAAATTATGGCCGTGCTAAAGGAAACGAATCCGGGAGACAACGTTCATGTGTGACAGGTATATATATTTATATCTTATAATATATGTTTTAATTAACTTTTTGAAGTTAATAAATTTTATTATATTTACTAATGTATTATTATTGTGATAGTTAATAATTTTTCTATCAAATTAATCGCATTAATATACTTTTTTATTTATTAATATAATATTCTTTTTTGTTTTAAATTATAATAATTGTTATAATTAACGTTAATCGGTGACAGGTTTATAACTTTAGAGATAAGCTGCGGAAAGAGAGTTTCGACGGTAGAGACGTTCCTTCCCAGCTTATGCATTTGGCCGTGAGCAGCGAGTATACAGTTTATGCAGAATCCGATCTGAACACGAAAGCGTTGACGCATATATTCATGACCCATCCTGCGTCGATCAATCTATTCCGGACATATCACTGGTATGTCGGCATAGATTCCACGTATAAAACCAACAGATATGTTACTTTATAAATACTTTATTAGTATGAATCTTAAATAGTGTGTTTGATCTAGTAAACTTTTATTTGATTATATTTTTTTTCTTCTTGGTCTCATTTGCACAGGTACAAGATGCCGTTGGTCGAGATGATTGGGATGACACCGTGCAACCAGAACTTCCTAATTGCGTATGTGCTCATCAGGGACGAGAAAGAGGCCAGTTACGACTGGGTTCTAGAGAAGTTGAGACTGCTGATAGGCCAAGACGTATATCCTTATGTTGTTGTCAGTGACAGAGAGTTGGGTTTACTCACTCCTATTCAGAGGCATTTTCCTGAATCAGCCCACTTACTCTGCACGTGGCACATCAACAAAAATGTGGAAGTCAGAGCCTACAAACTATTTGGGAAGAGTAAGAAATTCTCGGAGATTTTCTCGCACAGTACGTGGAAGGCGATTGCAGAGGCCAGTACGTTCGATGCCTACACCGATGCCGTTGCCGAGCTGTACGCAAAATATTCGAAGTCCCTAGAGGTGATACGGTATGTGGAGGGCACATGGTTAGGGCACCGCGAGAAGTTTGTGAAGGCTTGGACCAACCAAGTGACACATTTTGGAAACACAACTTCCTGTAGGGTGGAGAGTGCCCACTCTGTGTTGAAAAAGTGGCTTCAGACGTCCACCGGCGTGCTCGATACAATTTGGCAGATGATTAATAAGCACATCGATTATCAAGTGACTGAAATCAAGTACGTACTGCAATTTTTAAATGCGTTATTATATTATTGCATTAATTAATTATAATCTAACGTTATGTAACGTATTATCAGGACGGCGCTTGAGGCCTCGAGATCTAAAAAGAATACACGGTATAAGGGAATCCATTTCACGAGCGTGATACTGAGGGTCTCGCATTACTGTCTGAGTTTATTGGACCCTGAGCTTACGAGGATGCACGGCTTGGGCACCGATGTTTACACTAGCTGCGGCTGTGTATTGCAGCTCACTCATGGACTTCCTTGTGCCTGTCTGCTCCGTAACGCAGTTGATTTCAGCATTCCGATTGATCTCGGAATGATTCACCAGTTTTGGAGAACGCTCCAGATATTAGAGCCAGGTAATTTAAGGTTAATGTTTTATTTATAATTTTCTATTAAAATACATTATTTGGTTTAATTCATTGACTTTTTTATCGTATACTTGTAGGGACTGGTCATCAGAGCCAGGCGAGCCACGCTGCATGGTCAGATGCGGAGTTCTTTCAGACGCTTGTGAGTGAGGTTGAAACCCGCGATCCCGCAACGATGCGGTACGTGAATCAGTTCATGTACAGTCATCTTTACACAGACCAACAGGATTATGCGGAACCTGAGGTTAAGGATGACCCGCGAGGTCGTCCCAAGAAAACTAATTCAACTAAGCGTAAACCATCTGCTTTTGAGTACAACGATAGATCGCAAGGTCGGAAATCGAGCCGTACGACCACTTCTTCTCATGGACAGACAAGTTCGTCTTCTCAACAGTCACAAGGGGATGAAGGTCATACATTTTTTTTTTAAATATGGCTGAGAGTTAATTAAAGTATTTATATGATTATATAAATTGTGACGTCAAATTATTATGATATTTATTGCAGAGTTTATACCGACAAATATATTTGGATTTTCAATGTGGCAAAGTATCCTCTGGCATATGTTGGACTACATAGTGAGTTACCTGAATAAGGATGTGGATGGTAACTACGGATTTCGGGTCATCGCGAGTCACGTGTATGGTCACCAGAAGTACTGGGCAGATGCAAGAGAAAGCATTGCGAAGGAGGTCGACAGCCACCGTGAATTGTACGAGTACATCTATTTTAGAGATGTTGACGCCGGACTTCGTCGCATAAGGTGGGCCGACGGCCCTTGTGGACGGGTTCACTGGTTCGAAGTCCCGCAGGACCTCTACGCCGTTGCGACCCTATTTAATGCGGTTGTCGTTCATTTGAGCTCTGGTCCGCAAGGTGGGCAGCACGACTTATTCAGCACCACAGTGTTGCCTCTCAGTGCACGATCATCGGCTAGAGGACCATGTCGTGAGATGGCCATATGCCATCTTGGTGCCGTAGCACACTACATTCGTTTAGATTTGACTCCTGATTGTCCATTACCGCCTATTCATTCCATGTGGTTCCATAACCGAGATCAATCGGTTGTGGGTTGGGAGGATCAGTACGAGGCTAGGTTGCGATTGTGGTTTACTGTTCAAAAAAATCCTTCTTGAATAAAAGAACGATATTATTCACTTGTGGTACGACGCTTCTCATTCAACTTAAGTTTAGCAAATAAAAAACAAAATGAAGAATTATTTATTTATATAAAAATAAAAAAAATTAAGTGGACAAAAATAAAAAATAAAAAAGCAGGTCGACAAAAATAAAAAGCACGTACTTTAAGAATACGTTTTCAAGGGAAAAACGTATTCCTTACAACATATATGTATATACTATGTATTAAAAATACTATATACTATAAAAAAAAA